CCATATATAGATCAAATAAATAAACCACACAAACGATTAGTGACATGGCCATGACAAAGGAAAATACTGAACCTGCCATAATATCTGTATATTCAATACTTGAAATATTCTGAGATAGACGCAATCCAAGGAAAATTGCATAAAAGGCAATGAAAATAATTGAAAATACCAAGTTGAGTATTACAATAAATGCCTTACTTGTGAGAACAAACTTGATCCATTTAAATCTCTTTTCAAGAGTCATATCAACCTTATTTTCATCCAATTTTGCCATAATTTCGTACACATATCTGAAGGCAACAAATCTCACATTTAGAATCGTATAATTTAAAATTGCTAAACAATAGAACAAGCAAGAAATGAAAGATGAAACATATTTGACAACAGTAGAAGCTTCAGAATTACTTTCTAATAAAATTGCATTGGAAATAATGAATAAAAATACCAATTCTATCAAAATAGATATCAATGATAAATATGGAATGATTCCTCTACTTTTGGTTGGAGTTTTTCTATGAGTGGAAATGACACCAATTAGGGTACAGATAGTAAATAGGATTAATAAGGATCCAATAACAATCGATGCAATGGCAATGTTCTTATCTGTTACCGTGTTGAGTTTGGACTCTACAAACGCAGAGAAAGTTGTTGTGTGATTACAGAGACAGTTGACTGTCGAAGATGCAGCATCAATTTGTGTGGTACATCCATTAGAGAGCCATTCATTTTTTGTTTCATTGAAATATCTACAAGTAATTTTCAAGGTTGATGATGAAATTGTTGAATTATCCACTGTAAATGTCATTTTGATTGGATTAATGAGTTCACTAACTTGTAAAAAGTTTCCATTTGAAATATACTTCAAATCTATTGGATTTACAATATTGACCAATGTAGAGTTTGATAGATAGGTTGAAGTATTTGTGAAATTATTGGTCAACTTGGTGCTACTTGAGGAATCAAAAATTTTAGCCAACTTTTCAACATTCAAATAATTGACACTGGAAATTGAAACTCCTTCCAATAGTAACAACTCACTTGGAGTTTCAATTGATGTATTTCCATTACTGACCAATAAAATGTTGGCATTTCTGACAACTGACACAACAAATGAGCTAGTACTTGCAGAAAACACATTATCTTTAACAGAACTTGCTTTGGATGAAACAATTAACATGTTATCAATAACTTCTGTTGAATTAGCAATGTAATTATTTGAACTGAGAATATTAGAAAAGGTGTTCAAAACTTGACTGACAGTTGTGTCAATTGTGGAAGAAGCTTGCAATGAGGAAGATGATAATTTTGTTAAATCTGTTGATATTTCATTCACCATTGAGGAAACAGTTGAAATAATAGATGAAGTGACAGCTGACATGGATGAAATAACATTCAATGCCTTAGTTACCTTTGAGGTTTCGTCAAGATTTGTAGTATTTCTTTCACTTGTTGCCAAAGCATTGGTAACTAAAGTAA